ACATACAAAAGTATATAGTATTGGAAAAGATTAATAAAAATCTGACTGGAGGTCCAAAATGAGAACTCTGTTTTCTCAGTAGGAAAAACTCTTTAGAGAGCCCAAATATACTGAAGTATGAGTCGTCTGAAAAAAGGCCATAGAAAACAATTGTCTTTGCTCTTTTTATGATATTGTGCAAGTTGAAATTTAAAGAAGAGTGGGATTGGTTGGAATAGAAAGCTCAGGCAGTTCTTCTTCCAGGCACTCTTAAACATGGAGCATAGCGAGACTGAACCCTTCCTCATGTAAATGTACCAATAACACAACATAGAAAAGCTGACGATGGCTTATTATTACTTACCGTTCTCTCTCCCCTGTTTCAATCAGCTTCTGGTTAATAGCCGCTCTTATCTGAGCATCTTTGTTCATGGTGCAGGCTTGTATGGAAAAATAAATTGTCATTAGTAACGGCCATACTGAAAGTTACATGCTGAAGAAACAAGATAAAAAATAACATTTACACAAAAGGAAAATGAGCAGAAAAAAATAGTTCCTGACTTGCCCAACAGAGATATTTCACCTCTAGAGAAAGGTAGGCAGCTATGAATAAATGTGAAACGCATTAACAGTTGTCTGCCATTTCCCTCTCCTGCATTTGTGGAAATGTGATTGTATTGAAGAATCTACGATGAATGTGACTTTTAGATGTGGGGCTGACCAAATTCTCTTTTTTTTTCCTAGGTAGCTGATGTCTTCTGCACACACCAGTAATCATTAAAACATACCAAGGAGCAGCTTATAGGTTTGTTACGGTCTGTGGCCCCAATGAAGGGCTATTCCCATGCATCCTGTCCTTCTGACATCCATACAGGAAGTGGGGTGGGTGGGGTGCAGTTGTAATCAGGAAAGAATTGCAAGGGCAAAGATAAAAACATAGGCAGATTTCTACCTTTTCTTCACTCTGCTAAAATTGTCCTGGTTATAGATTTATTATCTCTTACTGAATAAACAGGAAGTGATGGCAAATCTCCCCTACAGGGTTACAGATGAAAAACATGAGCATGGCAAAGGCTTTAACCTCCTCTCCTCTTTGTTCATCCACAGAACTAGCTTTCAGCAATCAGAATACAGGGTGTTTTGTGAATGGACAAGGGGAGAGGAAGTGGCAGTTAACTAACAAGATCCTCAACTGTACTATAGTTGGAACTGTCAATTGCTGCATCAGAAGAAATGTGCAGCCTGTAGTATCCAAGATAAAAGAATCTGGAGTCATCAACTTTGCCAAGAATAGGTAATCAGCCGGCTGCCCATGACGTCTTTAGAAAGAAAAGAAAAACTGTGCATGTTTACAACCCCTGTGGAGATTTGCAGGTTCAGACTATGGAGAAAGAAGGAAACAAAGCCAGAAAGTTAGTATCTATCGGTTTTACTGAATAACTACTTCCCCTTTGATTCACAGTCAAAAGATGTCCTCGGTTGGAAGTGGAATACCAGGGTTATAGCAGCAGCAGTATGCCATAAATTCGGTATTGTTTTTTTCAGCCGGGAATTCTCTTGCTGCTAAAAGTGATCTAAGTGGTGGATTCGCTGCTGGAACACTTTTAGAAGCAGCAGGAGGGGTCGCCCTCCCGCCGCTTTCTGGTGGTTCCCGGGCTTACCTGCCTGATCGGTAAGCCTGGGAACCAATCCAGTGATCGTGGTGGCTGAGCATAGAGATTGGCTGAGGAAAGATGGCGTCAGCTAATCTCTATGGGCTAGGAGGACCAGAGCGACGTCATTTCTGGTTCTGGCCCAAAGTAAACAATGCCATTTTTTTTAACGCACTAGATCAATGTTTTGTTTTTTAATCTAGTGCATTCCATTGTAGAGGAGAGATGTGGAGTCTTATGCACCCCAGATCTCTTCATAAAGAGGACCTGTCAAGCTGTATTGTCATTGCAAGAGAGGTACTGACCTCTAGATAAAGTGTTAAAGCTGTAAAGCGCTACCCTATATGCGTAAAAACACCTCAAAATATACATGTTATGAATTTAGGAAATGTAGTTCCTCTACATCTAAACCCTCAACGTAATTGTGAAAAAATTTCGTAAATAAATAATTCATAAATTATAGTTACTTAACTGCTTCACATCCGCCCTATAGCAGAAATACTGCTACAGGGCAACACGAGTGTGCAAAATCATATATATATATATATGTGGTTTTGCAGTTCCCGGTAGGGCCCTACCTGCGCCACCATTTGTGGCCTCAGCTGTCAATCACTGGGTCCTGGACGGTGATTGCCTAGCACCTCCGATGGAGAAGAGGGGGGGGACTGTTTGTAAACAATACACAGCAATGCATAGCACAGCCATACAAAGCAGTGTGCTTACAGGGCAACAAACACACAGCACACTATGTAAAAAGGCACACAGCACAGTTAACCCTTTGATCGCCCCACGTTAACCCCTTCCTGCTCAGTGCCATTAGTACAGTGTCATTTCTTTTTATTATCGCTGTTCACTGTATTGGTGTCCCTAGGGATGTCAGTGACACCAAGTCAGTTCCCCCCAGTGTCAGAATGCCCACCATAGTCCTGATCGCCGCCATTACTAGTAAAAATAAAATTTTTAAAATGTATATATATATACCACCATTTGTAAACGCTATAACTTTCACGTAAACCAATTCATTTACACATGTTGGGATTTTTTTTTAGCTAAGAAATACATTTTGGCCTAAATTTATGCCGACATTTGATTTTTTTACTGGACATGTGTAATAGCAAAAAGTCACAAATATAGTTTTTTTTTCTCAAAATTGTCTGTCTTTTTTTTTTTAAATAGTGCAAAAAAAAAAAAAAAAAAAAAACACACACAGGCGATCAAATACCACGAAAAGAAAGCTCAATTTGTGGGAAAAAAAGGATGTAAAATTAATTTGGGTGCAGTGTTGCATGACCACGCAACTGTCAGTTAAAATAACGCAATGCAAAAAATGGCCTGGTCAGGAAGGGGGGGTGAATCCTCTGGAGGGCAAGGGGTTAATGTGCAAACTTGTAATGATTCTTCAAAGTGCAAACGTGTGATAATTCTTTATATGGTGCAGTGAATCCTTAGTGCTCCCCCCTCCAGGTCCCACTTACTCACCAGCTCCTGTGGACTCTTATAAGAACAAGAGCCTAACATGATTGTTCTAAGAGTCCACAAGAGCTGGTGAGTAAGTGGGACCACCGGAGGGGGGAGCACTAAGGATTCGCTGCACTTTGTGAAGAATTATCGCACATTTGCACTTTGAAGAATCACTGCATGTTTGCACATTAAGGCTGGGTTCACACTACTGCGGTGCGGCATATTGCATGTGATTCGCACAGGGACCACACACCGCATTGCTGGGCAAATCACATGCGAATTCTGTGCGGTGCGATTCGAGACATACATTATGTATGGTTCAAATTGCACCGCATCAGGACCCATTTTTGGTCCACACTAGAATTGGATCGCATGGGTATTCACATCCATGTCATCCAATTCTGTACATCACACCGCGTTTTGTTAACTGATTTCGGAGTGTTAACTTAACATACACACCCGCAATAGTTTTTGCATGAACAGGGTGTGATTATGATGCGGAATTCGCGAAAAAAATGCTGCGAATTCCGCACCGCATTAGTGTTAACCAGGGCTAAGAGACTGTAATTTATGTATTGTTTGTTTATTCCATTTTTTCACAATTACGTTGAGGGTGTAATTGTAGAGAAAGTACATTTCATACATTCAAAACATTTATATCATGAGGTATTTTGCACGCATTTAGGGCAACGCTTCATGGCTTTAACAGTTATGTATCACGGAATATAAATATTGAAGAATACATTATTTTACATACTGGGTTACCGAAATTATACACCAAACTTTTTTGGGGGTTTTTTTTTATCCAATTAATAGAAACAATAATCGCCCTCCAACTAATTGATTCTGAAAATAATCGTTTGTTGTGGGCCCTCATCTGAAGGCTTGGGTGGTACATTGTATACTAATGCAGATGTGGGCGGGAGCGGGAAGGTGGTACATTGTATACTAATGCAGATGTGGGCGGGAGCGGGAAGGTGGTACATTGTATACTAATGCAGATGTGTGCGGGAGGGTTTCCTGTGGGTGCGGACACACTGCTACCTCTACACACCTGGGTGGCATCTGCTTGGGAAATCCCTGAGCATGTGCCGAAGGACTCTGCGGGGTTCCAAAGACCTGAGTGGAATCCAGCAAAGCAAACCCCTGGGGTGTGGTACATAGTCCTCCCTGAAGGCAGAGGGGGCCAGAGGAATGGGGGGGGGGATCTCCCTGGGTGTGGTACAGATGGAGGAATGACTGACAACACAGGCCTGCTGGTGAGGGGAGAGCCAGGGAGGAGTAAAGAGGGGGTCTCTGCACGGAGGTCAGAGACTGAAACAAAACCTGCTGGGGGTCAGCCCCTTCCTCCCACAGCTGAAGAGAGAGGTCTAAGCCAAGGCCATTCTTCAGGGGCCCCTATTGCAGGGCCACGTGTGAGCCCTATACTCCATATGGGATGGAGAACCCCGGGCGGAAATGAGGGGCTCCCCTCGCGCAGCCATCACCCATTGCTCTCACCTGGACCTCGCAGACACCACACCGGAAACTCCTCCTGGTTGCCCAGCAACCCCCGGCAAGGGCGGGACAGCCCACTCCATAGATGGGTGGAGTTACCTTAGACGTGATCACATCGCGCCCTCACTATGGTAATGCCCACAGCTTAAATATTTATATACTATTTCAATGGTAGCAGTTGGGAACGTATTTATCGGTAAGCTGTGTAACACGCTGGTTTGTTTTTTAGCCGTTTTGAGCTGGTTAAAATGTGTCCTTTAAGATAAACTACACTTCCCGGCATGCATTTCTCAGAGGTTCGCGGGGAAATCGCTCCCTTCCGGAAAGGGCGCACTGGGAAGTGATTAGAAGGTTCCGGTTTCCTGTTTGTACTGAAGTGAGTGGAAGGGACAGGGCTGAGGTGCTGGAAGCATGGAGGCGGCTAACTGCTCTCTGAGGGTGAACAGGCTGTTGCTGGACCCCAAGTTTGAGAGCTACAAGTTGTCTCTGGACCCCCTGCCTTGTTATGGGGTGGACTTGGATGCTGGTAAGTGTGTGACACATGGGGCCATCACATCTGTCTGTGCAGCTTCTGGAGTCAGGGCTGGTTCATGCATGGGGTGTCCAGGTAAGGGATGCAGCCAAGATATGTTAAATTATATCCACAACCCAAACTTTTTTCGTTTTATTCCTTTTTGGATAGAGTAAGGGAGGGTTAAATCCCCTGTTAGGTGTTTGTTTGTTCTCTATGTCCCATTGGAGATATTTTTCTTCACTTCCTATCCTGTGAACACAACAGGAAGTGAGAGGAAATGAATGAAAAGGATGTCCCCTCTCAGACCATGTCCCCATTGGACACTTTCACCTCTCTTCCTGTTCTTGTGACAGTTTAAAATGTTGTGGTGTTTCGGTGATCTCAATGAGCAGGACTAACACCAAAGAGGACACAGACAGGGATTAAAACCTGACAGCACCTCTAGCTCCTTAACTCCTTTGTGCCAAGAGTATGCAAATATGTGGCCTCTCTGCAGGTGGGCCTTGAGAGGCCACATATTTCTGTACCCAAATATAAATACACCCCTGCTGAGAGGGTGCACCCTACACAGTTCCTAACTGAAAGCTGCCAATCGCTTTGTTGGTACAGCCAATCACGGCAGTCATATGATCATAAACCCCGCCCTGCCTCTCGGCATCAGAAACCTCCTAAAGTGGTGGGAGGTATGGCATTAAGGGGTTAAAGTAGTAGCAAAAAAAAAAAAAAAAATGCCCACCTGAAGGTTTAATGCCGTAATGTGTTAGTATGCGCTGTGTATTAGCACATTATGACAGATTTACCTTACAAATGGAGCTGTTCAGAAGAGCGCTGTGACTGCTGCAGGTGCATTCACCTTCACCTGGTCTTCCTTCTTGGTTCGCGGGCTTTGGCCAAATGGCTGGGCTGTGATGACCTCATTGCCGGGGCATGTGTACAGGAGTCACCATAGCGGCATGGTACTCTCTATATCCACGGCACACTCATTGTCCCATGCATGCAGAGAGCATGGCGCATGCCCTATTTACTTAGGCTGATGCCAGTATTTAATGAACTGCTTTAACACTTCACCCAGAACAGGAAATTAACGATTCTCCTTTAGTTATACTTTAACCAATTGGCAACTGCGCTATAGCCGGATGACGGCAACAGTGCAGTTGTCCAGTACTGGGAGGGCGTCATATGACATCCCCCCCAGAACGCACCCTCATGCGCTCAACCGGCGATCTCCGTGATCGCTGTGTCCTACGGACACAGCTGATCACATGATGTGGTAAAAGGCCAATGACAGCTATCACAGCATGAGGAAAGTACTGCCGATAACTGGCAATTGTCAGAAAACAGATCGGCACTAATCAGCAGGGCATTGATGATCAGTACCCGTCAGTGCTGCCCACCAGTGCCGTTGTCAGTGCCACCCATCAGTGCCGCCTATCAGTGTCCATCATTGCTGCATATCAGTGCTGCCTATCAGTGCCCATCAGTGCAGCCTCATCAATGCACATCAGTGAAGGAGAAAAATTACCTGTTTGCAAAATTTTGTAATGGAAATAAAGAAAAACGTTTTTTTTTCCAATTTCTTGTTTATAGCGCAAAAAATAAAACACCAAGTGGTGATTAAATACCACCAAAAGAATTCTCAAGTTGTGTGAAAAAAAGATAAACATTTCGAGAGAGAGAGAAAGATTTGTCAGTACACCTGAACCATCCTAGGACAGCCTGCTTCACGTCTTTATCATTGGCGAAATGCTGATCTCAGAGGAACTCTTTTTAAGAAGTCAAAACCGGTGGAAATCACTCGAAGCAAGGTCCAGGCTGTAAGGGGGATGTAGCAATACCTCCCAGCCAAGTTGCTGTAATGTGTATGTGGTGCAGTGAGCAGTATGAGCTTGTGCATTGGCCTATCGGTGCAGCCTCATCAATGCACATCAGTGAAGGAGAAAAATTGCCTGTTTGCAAAATTATATAATTTTTAAAAATTATATAATAGAAACAGTTTGTAGTGCAGTGAGCTGTATGAGCTTGAGCATTGTCCTGGAGGAACAAGAATGCCTTTGCAGGCCTTCAACTCTTCTGTGCCGGTCAAAAGCAGAAAGCTGTCTTGGTACCCAGCGTGCGCTAACTTTTTGAAAATGCAAATGATTGTGAGTGATTTTGTTCACCATCCCACAGAAAGCTTAGTCTATTGTGCACTTTCACAACAGATTATTATTATTACATCGAGTTTATATAGCGCCAAAGGGTATGCTCAGCGCTGTACAACAGGGGGGTGGACAACACATGGCACAGTACAACAATAACAAACAACGTACGAGGGGTAAGAGGGCCCTACTCCTTTGAGCTTACAATCTAGGAGGGAGGGGGTAATGGTACAGTAGGAAGTGGCTGAGGGGAATGAGGGGTGGGAGGAAAGAGGGAGAATGGCCGTTAGGTGAGGGTGGGGTAGGCTTCCCTGAAGACATGGGTTTTGAGGGAGCGCCTGAATGTGAGGAGGGAAGGCGACAGTCTGATGGATTGGGGCAGTGAGTTCCAGAGGATGGGGGAGGACCTGGAGAAGTCTTGCAGTCGTGCATGGGAGGAGGAGACCAGGGAGCAGGATAGAAGGAGGTCCAGTGAGGAGCGAAGGGTACGGGTAGGGCGGTAATTGGGGATCAGGTTGGTGAGGTAGTCAGGGGCAGTGTTGTGAACGGCTTTGTAGGTCAGGGTTAGAAGTTTAAATTTGATGCGTTGGGCAATCGGGAGCCAGTGGAGGGAGAGGCAGAGGGGGGTGGCAGAGGTGGAGCGGGTGTTGAGGTGGATGAGTCTAGCTGCTGAGTTCAAGATTATGCGTCGAATATCCAGGATCAGGTTTTGCATGTGCAAAATGTTCACATGAATGACTGCTGTGGGCTGGGAACCACCAGAGCCGAGATCGTCGGACAGACGTACAACCATCTTTGAAACGTTTACACCATTCAAATGTCTTGCTGTGACTGAGCGGCTCATCACAGTACTGTGCTTGAAGTCTTGTGTAGATTTCTGCAGATTTTACACCTTCATTTACAAGAAACTTTATCTCCACACATGCATGCGCTAACATTGTTGTCTGCCATCTTGCTTAATGGTCTCTGGACTGACTCGTGACATGTGCGCCACCTATCAGTAATAGGACACACTTGCCACTTACTACTGTGTGTATTACCGCCCCACAAGCATCCCTTTTTAAACCTGTAAAATTAAAAGTCCTGGTTTAACCTAAAAGCCCCTCGTACTTTAACCCCTTGGCGCTGGCGCCTCCTGGCCCTTTAAGGGTTTCAGAACCCAGGAGGTGGGGCAGTGTTTTAGGGTCATGTGACCGCCGTGATTCGCCGTCACATGATCGGGAAAGGTCCTGATCAAAAGAGGAGATCGAGACCTTTCCGCGACAAGTGTGCTGGGAGCATGCGCTCTCAGCACATATGTTTTTTTTTTTAATTGCACACAAATGTGCTGCTGCTTGGCGACTAGGCCCAGATGCCGGGAGGCCGCACATTTGTGTGTGGCCGACGTGAAGAGGTTAAAGGATAAGTTCATCTTTGGGAACATGTTACATGTTCCTCCCGTTTTTAGGGTGGAACATGTAACATGTTCCCATAGCTGCAGCTGCCGCCCGCCTCTCTCTCTCCCTCTGACAGATAGTATGAGGAGAAGTTTCCCCGTACTATTTGTCAGATTTGAAAACAGAGTGGCCATGCGGAGCTCCGCCCACATGGCCCTGTCATTTATTCACGGACTTCTGTGAATGAATGAACTGCAAGTCCCGACAGCCTTTGCGGCTGTCGGCTTGTAGTTTTCAATAAACTACCACGGTGCTGTGGAGTGTCGTAGTAGTTCATTGAAGCTTCCTGTCAGAATATCTGCTTACTCATACTTACCGAACGGCAAGCAGATATACTGATAAGTCTGCAGGAGACCTGCATGGCATCAGCGATCTAGTGATCGTGGTGCAATGCTTTCCAGGCTCCTGTAGACAAAATATAAATGCACTTTTTTTGTTTACCTGCAAAAAAATGTTCATATATTATTTTTGTCTAAAAGGTGAACTTATCCTTTAATAATTACCAACAGAGCTGTGATTGTTCCTCCAGCAGCAATCCAAAATGTTAGATGTCCCCAATAGGTGAAATTACAATATTGAGATTAAAGTATAACTAAAGTCAAAACATTTTTTTTAGTTTTGGATACAGTGTTTTTTGCTGGATGTGCCCGCGGTAAGGAGATCCCCCTCTTTATTTGTCCTGTTTACCATGATCATTGAAAGTAAAAGAAAATCCAAATTATGGGTTGTCCCCAAAAAAAGTAATAGAGGGGAAATCATCCAATGGGGACACTAGTTCTGGTGACCTGGGGGTTTCCAAGAGATTCTCTTAATTTGCAGGGATTTCCTCTCACTTCTTGTTTGGCTATGGGACAGAAAGTGAAGGGAAATCTCTGTAATGGGACATAGTTGGCGGAAAAAAAACTGACAAGCGTTATAACCTTCCCTTGCTCTATCGAAAATGAAAAAAAGTTTTGCCTATGGTTCTACTTTAAAGGATAAGTTCCCCTTTTAGACAAAAATAATAAATGCACATTTTTTTTGCAGGTAAGAAAATGCATTTATTTTGTCTACAGGAGCCTGTAAAGCATTGCACCAGCGATCAGTAGATTGCTGATGCCATGCATGTCTCCTGCAGACCTGTCAGAATATCTGCTTGCTATACGGGATGTATGGCCAAGCAGATATTCTAGCAGGAAGCTTCAGTGAACTACCACGGTGCTCCACAGTGCTGTGGTAGTTCATTGAAGACTACAAGCTGACAGCTGCTAAGGCTGCCGGAACTTGCAGTTCATTCATTCACAGAAGTCTGTGAATGAATGAAGTGGCTGTGTGGGCGAAGCCCCGCATTGCCACTCTGTTTTCAAAATTGACAGATAGTACGGGGAGTACTCCCCGTACTATCTGTCAGAGGGAGGGGGCGACGACAGATGGCGGCTGCGTCTTTGGGAACATGTTA